GTATCGATTTCCAGCTTATCTATATTAGTTGAAGGTGCTGACGTGCAATTCCAATGCGGATACATCCAGTCCAGCTTGAGTCACAGACAACAATCCAAGCAGAAATCGAAGTCCAATGTTCTGATGTCTTTCCAGACTTGGCAGTTTCTTTTCATTTAATGTATAATAAGCAGTTCCTTTTGAACTCGTTTGTTTTATTTCAAACACTTATTTTTTCGAATAAACTTACTATTTTTTAGTGTGAGAAATTATAAAGTCCTCACCCATCTGAGGCAAGAAAAGAACTTTCTTGGGAGATATTCCTCACCCAAATTCACAATCACTTGATCAAAGTCAATACCTTGGGCGTGCAAGTTATTACATTCTACAGTCTGTTAGGGTTTTTAACCGCTAAATAGTGGCACGCTCGCACATAAAAGAAAGTTGACTTGTTGACCACCAATGGTTTTCAAGTCAATGGGGAATTTTACCCTACCATAATAGGAATTACATCAAAACGGGTGAACACTACCCTTTTACCGCATTAGCTCAATGAATTCAATCTCCATTAAATTAATAAGTCTATGCACATCATATTTATTTTCTTTCATCTATCCTTATCGATGTGTGATCTATTAGGTTTTAATCGGCAAGATAGTGGGTGATCCAAAACTTGTTATTGATCGATTGTGAATTAAAACTCCATTTTAATTTTCCCTTTATGAGAACTAGATTATATTTTGTTCTTAGGGCTTCCATAAACCGTGAGTGACGTCTAGCAAAATGCCATGGTTGCCCAAACCAATATAGAATGGGGTTGTGAACCTATTCAGTTGAAATTACCATGCAATGTGGTCCTTCTCTTAATCAATGCTCTTGATCATGCTAATTGGGGCTTGAAATTCATGTCAAGCTCTTAGCGTCATCTACAATCTCATGTGATTCATTAGACATGATCACAATCTCTTTTATTGATCTAGCTCGTTTCTTTGGCCAAAGACTTTTGAATCAAATCTTCTTAGCATTCTCCTCCTTTACTGAAGGTAGAGATCCCTTGTTGTACACTCACATGTCTCCATGAATTCATCATTGGGTTATGCCCAAAGGAATACATGTCATATCTTTGGGTTATGCCCAGAGGAACATATCGCTTCAACATGGCTAAGGGCCCACGACGCTTCCATGAGACAACTCGTGGTGCTTTAGGTCAAGGACTAATTTGCACTATTCCAACTTGAGAGATCCTAATTGACATGTAATTAAAACTTTTATTCAAGTTCTTTTTGTTGATCGCGTTTAGTAAATTCATTCTCTATTGAACACCCATACACTTATCTTAGTGTCTCCACACGAATGACTCGAGACCAGTCATCCTCCTGATTGAGCAGATAAAATGCATGATGGTCTTTGCGGATTATCAATGCCCAGTTGATCTTCCTATGACCACAAACTATTTAGGATGTGGACATGGTAGAGAAAGGTCTCTTGAACTTAACTTTTTAAAGTCACTTTCTATGTCTAATGATCCATAAACTTGTTGGTTAAGTAAATGACTAAAATTATTACTAAAAACAACATAATGCCCTTAATTACTTCGGTGAAATATCCTTAGAGTTTACATCTCATTATTGGCTCTAGAGCATACTTCTAGCAGAATAGAGGGAGAAGAAGAGAGAGAAAGAGGGAGAATATAGGGAGAATGAGAGAAAAGGAGAATGGGGGAGAATATATATATATATATATATACATTGATTTCACAACAAGATATGTTACCAAGGTGGTGAAATGCTCACTATTTAAACTTTAAATATTTTCTTGAATTTCTACAAAAGTCAGTTCGGTTGAACCATCAAATAGAAAAATTGGAACTATGAACTGAACCACATGAAGTAGTTCGATTCGGTTCACCTACCAAATGCCGAGAAAATGAAGAAAAAGATCAAACCTTTGGTTTATCGATTAAATTTTTTAGCCCTACAAGGGACGAAAGGCCTGACCCACTGAGTGGTCATGTTTATCTACATAATGTTGTGAGCAACATTTGTATGATATATTTAATTTATTTAGATCAATCTAGAAAAAAGTCTTGGCAAAAAGCCATTATTTTGGATCCAATGGAAGGACAACCTCTTTGAGGGCCAATCTTCAATAAGTATGGAGTTTTTTATAAGCTTAGAATGGTTAATTTTTTTTAATTATTATTATAGATTTGTCTACATCGAAATTGAACTCTGTAGGGGCTTTTTTGTTCCTGCAGCTACAGATGAGCTTGGGCTGTTGTAAAGAGCAAAATGCGTGGAGTTGCCCCTGTGTATGAGTTCAAGAATCAAGCCCCAAGAGTGCTTCGAAAGGTTCATGGATCCTTATGATGCACTTTGGTTTATTTCACCAACAAAATAAACAATTACTTACAGATCAATATTTTGGCTTGGCTTGAGAAGCTTGTGGCATGGGAGCTGAGCATTCATGAGTTTAGCATTAGAGAGACAAAGCTTGGATTTCCCATGAGAAATAGAGGTTCAAAGTAAGGGGAGATGGAAATTTGGGGAGATTTTGATTAGGAAAGAGAGGAAAAGATGAGGGTGGCAGAGTGGGTGACTTGAGCAAATTTCCAGCCGCTTGACGAAAGCTTCATCACGCTCTTGAAGGGTTTGCCAGAGGAGAAAAAGGAAGGAGATGAGAGGACAAAGCTCAAAATTGAAAGGTTCCAGTAGTGAGAGAGGATGCTTGCTCGCTCTGGATGTGGTGATTTGTTGGGTAGGAAATGCCCCTTTTTATAGGCGTTGGAAGCTACTCCTTCCCAAGAATCCCTAGTTCGCTCTTCCCAAATCTGCCAAGTCTCCCCCTCCATTCCTCTTCTCTTCCTTGGATTCATCCCCCTTTTGTGAAATCCCCCTAATCCAAACACACAGAGACAAGATTTTTTGGAGCTCTAGAGTCTTCTCGCAGCTGTCTCTCTGGCACCCTCCTATCTCTGGCAACACTCTCTCCTTCTTTCCTTCCTTATTTTTTGGAAAGAGTTGGTAGAGGAAAGAAGTGGGTAAAGGTGCTGGTCTAAAGTGTGTTTTACTCTCAACAGCCTGCACATGCGAATATCCTTTTGTTTCAAAGATGGTTTGTCTTGGATTTGGCTTTAGCCATGTGCTGGAGGTTTCCTGAGATATTTTTTCAGGTTGTTGGGCCACTTCCTAAGGTGATGGGCTATTTTACTAAGGTGATGGGCCACTTTTCTCTCTTTCATGCTTACCCACATATTTGGACTCAAGAAATGGGCTCGAGTTTTGGGGCTCCCAAGCAGCCCAAAATTCCACTTCTTGGCTCGTCAATGGGTCTCGTGAACGCTCGTAACCATTCATACTACAACCTGCTCAGCAAGCCCTGGGCATTTGCTTGACTTAGGCCCACTTAAACTTGTAGCGTGGCTAAGTGCTAAATAAAGGTTTTCCGCTTGGCATTGCATGTTGTTTGGTGTGCTCGTGCTCGAATTTTACTATATTATAAAGGGCTACGGCTGGGCCAAAATGACGCTTGACGGGATAATAAGCATGAGTTCATAGAACTGGTATATTTTATGGGCTTGTTACGATTTTTTAGCATGACGGGTTACTTATTTGATTGACGTGGCAAATGGACCCTAACTCATGCTAGCGCGTACGATGAACTTTCGCGTACCCAAATCGGGTTTCTTCTCAATAAGGTGTCGTACTAGGCCGGGAATATATATGGGCCCAACCTTGGATTTTTTGGGCCTCAACAAACTCCTAGGTTGCTTTAGGGTTTTAGTTATGTTGGGTTTCGTGGGCTTTGTTTGGGATTATGCATAATGTGGTGATGTGGGCTTTGTTTGTCCACTTTAGTTGTGTTTTTTTTTTTTTTTTT